TGAGAGGGCATTGTGAAGCTATGAGTGTGAAGCCAAAGCTAAAAGGTTGAAGAAGCCAGGAATATGGATATCTGAGGAAGTCACAAGGAGTGAACAGAGCCAGCCCAAGAGAGAAGCCATGGGAGCTACAACCATCAGAAGTACCGTAGGGGCAGAGCCACCCAAGCCCTTTGAAGTTCACATCTTGCCCCAGATTTCACTGGTTACTGGACATGGAACTATGGAATTTCATCTTTGCCCTGCTGGATTTTGGTCTTGCTTTGTTTCCATTCCTTTCTATCCCCCTCTTGGTATCTTTTGGAATGGAAATGTTTGTTTTGTGCCATTATATGTTGGAAATGTTTAACTTTTATTTCAGGGATCACAGCTAAGTTTGTCTTAAATCTCAGAGGAGACTTTGGATTTGGACTTTTCAGCAATGCTGAAACTGTTAGGACTTTGGCAAAACTTAGAGATAGACTAATGTCTTTTGCATAAAGGGATATGCATAAGTCTTTCGGGAGCCAGGGGCAGAATGTTTTGGCTTATATCTTGATGCCTCCCTGCAAAGCCTCATGCAGTCATACATGGGGAATTTTGAAGGTGGCTGAGTTAGGGTGTGAATGTGAATTAAGGGTATAATACTGGGATTAAGTGTGTGGATAGTGGAAGCCCCACCCTGGGTAAGGATGCCACCAATCAATAGACTTGTAGCCTGGATGAAATATAGAGGGACAGAAAGAATGCATGCTTGCTGCTTCTGCTGCTGCTTGCTGTTTGCTCTTTGCTGCCTTCTGCCTACCACACCACAAACTGTTTCTCCTCTGTGATGCCTCTCTGCCTTGGAGCAAGCTGACTATGGACTGAAACCTCTACAAACTGTTACCTGAAATAAACCTTTTCCTTTAACTTGTGGTTGTCAGGTATTTTGTCCTAGCAACGAAAAAAGAAAACTAAGACAGATTGAAAGGGCAAGGATGTATGTATAGAAGAACCCTTCAAACTCTAAAAGCCCTTTGAAGTTACCACGAATTGAGTTGGAAGTTCTGCTTTGTTAATTATCCATGTAATTTTGGACATCCTGAGTTTCAGGTTTTTCACATATATAACAAAGTATCTTAGCACACATGTTTTGCTGTTACAGGCATGTGGTGTGGCTATATAAAGCACCTGGCATAGTGTCTGACAAATAGTAGCTATTTAATGTAGTCATGCACTGCATAACAATGTCGCTTTCAACAATGACCACATCTATAATGGTGGTTCCATCAGACTAGTGGTCCAGTGTCATCATAGCAATCTTTGTTTGTGTAAGTATGCTCTGTAATTGTACAATGAAAGACTTGCCTAATGACACATTTCTCAGAATATGTCCTGTGATTGAGCAAGCAGTGCCTGACTGTATGCATTGGCTTCCTTGAGTGGCAATCTGACTTCCTAAATGAATTATATATTAGACAGGAGGTTCTTGTCATAGTGATAATTGGAAATGAGAATCCAGAAATTACATATCTGTGAGGACTCTAGACTGCCTGTATTCCTAAAGACATTCTTCAATACTGACACTACATTTTTATCATTTTATTTGCAATTTTAGACCTTAGATTTATGTATTTTCTTCTCATAATTTTTTGCTTCTCCTTCCTACAATTTTCCTATGCTTCTTGGATTCCTTACAGTAGTATATATGGCACCAATGTTTGCCTAGGGACTCAATACACAAAACGTGGAAATCAAGAATGCCTCCCAAGCTGCCATTTTGATTTTTTAAAAAATATTCTGAATACAAGATTATGAAAGAAAATCCGTCATAATGTTGTGCAGTTGGAGATGTATTCTGTTCTCTAAAGAACCTACAACCAGTCTGCCTGTGGTTGAATTATTTGCAAACTCCCAAGTCACCAGCATAGTTTCTGAAGGCCTCCAAATACCCACCTTACTGTTAAGCACCACAGCATGACAAGATAAATGGAAATGGCCAAATGTTTCCTTCCTTTTCCTTTATACGTCAGTTCCTGCAGACCTCCTGATCTCTCCATGCCTTTTGCTGTATGCATGAACAGAAACTGCCTGCCAGTGCAGATCTGCCAAGGATTTTTCTTGCTGAGGCAACCTAAAGTCAAGAAGCCACACAGCTGTCAGCTCACAGCTCCAGTCTGAAAGGAAGAGAAGCCTGAGGCATGGTATCAAGCTCCCACACCATCAACCTCCTCTTCGACATTTCAGCTGAACAATAACCACGATTGATAGAAGAAAGAACAAAGCGACTTCCCAAATATTTCTTTCTTTCTCCCCCCTTTCTCTTTTTTTTTTTTTTTTTTTTGCCCAGTATGCAATGCTTCCTGTTTCTCTAGTAATGAAAATGTGTTTGTCTGTCAAACAGAAAGCTGCCCCACTGTCTTAGGTGCAGAGAACTTCAATCACAGCAGCTGCTGCGACCAGACCGAGAGCCAAACTCCTCATTTGTTTTGGCTAACACTGAAGAATCAGTTTAGGCTTTCCCTAGAACAAAATGGTGCACGGGAACACAGCCAAGCTATGGAAGAGAAGCAGCAAAGTTGCAACAGATTATTTGTCTGCTAAAACAGAAGGAGAAAGATATCAAAACCTGGATCCATTTGAGTCCAGCCTCCCTAACATATTCTCTATTTGCAACACAGATGATTCTCTCTAATATCATTCAACAGGTGCTAAACTGTAGCTTTTTTGAAGATTAATCACTGCAGCCCTGGCAACAGAAAATTAGGAAGGAATAAGACAGCTCCCAGAATTTTTAGGCTATTTCAAGTGAATACTCAGAACAAGGAATTGGTGCTTGTGAAAGGTAATCCCAAGGAAAATGTCATTGCCCTCTGTTCACAAAGCAACCTATGTACACCTGTACCTTTCAGCATATACCACACTGACAAGAAATTGTGTTTGCATTTGTTTCTCCTCTTAGGTCATGAGCTTTTGAAGATGTGTCTCTCTTTTCTTAACTCTCATCTTTTTTATTCATTTGTCTTTTATTACTACATGTTTGCAATATGTAATATTTACATTCCTTGTGTGGAGTTGGTTCATGTACATAACACATCTTAATTCTTTTTTTTAATCCTCTTTTCTTCTCCCCCTCCATGTCCTGATCCCCTTCCCATTTGAGAAAGACCTGTCTCACCACTCCCTGTACGTCCATCAACAGATGAATGGATAAAGAAAATGTGGTATTTACACACAATGGAGTGCCACTCTGCAATAAAAGATACACTTGAGTAATTTGTAGGAAAATAGATGCATGTTGAGACCATATGTTAAGTGAAATAAATCAGATAAAAAAAGCTTAAGTATCACATGGCTTCTCCTATATGACAGTATAAATAAAGAGTAAAATAAAAGACAGATCATAGGAACCTTCATGAAACTAGCACTGGTAGTCAGTTACTCAATAAGTGAAAGTTGAATGATTAGTTTTCTGAACAAAATTGTATAAATGCATCAAATATTACCCTTTTGATTTCATTGGTGAGACTTAAGTAAGTGTGGTCATTTTTGGAAGTTTGTAAACACTGTTTACCTTAAAAGTTTCATTTAGATTTCTATTTTCACACAGAAACAAGAACTACACAGAAATTATTTAGATGAGTTATTAAGCCAAATCCACCCTGTAGTTCATTTGGTCCAGCTAGCTGAGAAAAAAGTAGAGCTTGGGAACATGATATGACTTCACTTTCTTTCCAAATATGTGAGAAAATGACTCACCTTGAATTTCCATTTGAATGTAGGTCTGATAATAGCAGGGGAACAGTGAGGCTAAACTCTGAGCAGGACAAAAAGTAAATTCAGTAGGAATCTTAGAATACTTAAATGCCTCAACAACTTTTGAGGTTTTATCTCAAGTCTGGCCAGATTTCACAGGATTGTTCTCACATTGGCCAGTCTGTTCAGTGTGGGCTTATGTCTCGGAAAGTATCTAACCTAGATATTTTTCTAGGTCAAAATAAACCAATAGCCAATAGTAATGGGTGGTGGGTGTTTGAATAGTTTACTGCCTTAATTTCTAAGTCTTGGATTAAGGCAGTGATTTGGAATGAATTAAGGGATCACCCCCAATGCCTGCAGGTATCCAGGATGAAGCAAGCCACTGACCTGGGAATGTGGAGGGAAATCCCTTTGCTCTATGCCCTCAGTAGTTAGATCTTCTCCTTGAATATCTCCCTTCCAAAATCACAGTGCTTGCTGGGATGAAACCTCCCCAAGAGTGGCCTCTTCTGTTGAGTCAAAGAGTACTGGTGCTCCTGATCAAAGCTGGAGACAGCCAGCTCTGCCCAGACCGCCCACAGAGGGGGGAGAGAAAATCCTTATTCTTTGGTTTGCCCTGTATATCTCATATTTGTCTCTCCAGGTTTTATCATCCTTCCACATTATTTTAACAGTAAAACGGTCAATTAATTTTGTTTGGCACATTGTGTTCTATACATAAATTGATCACATTTGGATGAAAATATTAAATTTACTAAAATATGGGGAAAAGGGTTGTTTAATTCTGTGATGCTTCATAGTTTAAACTGATTTTCATTTCATGTTGCTTATTTGTTTTTCTATAATAGCATTACCTCTTAGTATAAATGAAAATAGTTAAATATCTAAGTAACTGAACTTCTTCTTATCAAATATCAGATTTGGAAATATCAGCATCCTAAAACAAAGTTTTGTTATTTCATGATGGATGTTTGGCACTGTATAATCATAGCCTATCTGGGGTAACATTTTAAGGATTAACATTATTGGAGTGGAAATAGAAGAATGATAGAGTTATTCAGCATAAATGTGACATTTATGTCAAACAAGCATGGTTTGAAATAAACTAATTTAATTTCCAAAAGCCCATTGCATTTAGCAGAAAATTCTGCATAATGCATGCAAACCTGTGCCATTGCCCCATCAGCCAAACTCTCTGAATTACTACTGAAGACTGCGATCCAACCCAACAAAATGCATTATATATGCATATGTATATGGGTGTGAAAACTGAAGCCTCTGACACAAAAGGTCTTAAGTAATATAGCAGGTGTCACTGTTGCACCAAGACAATGATGGGAACCCCAAATTGGAATGTTACATATTTAAAACCAATTTGTTCCAGTGATACACTCAAGTATCAAATGCTTATTCCAAGACAGATCACATACATCTTGTTTGTGCAAGATGGTACCTGTTTGTTTTTCTTCAAGTGTACCCTTGTATCCCAAAGTATTTCCCTAAGTCTGCAGCTTAGCCATCTGTGCTGGGGAAAGAGGATTGGGAAGAACTTGACCCTGTTCCTGAAGGGATTAGTTCTTGAACTCCTGAAAAGCATATTTAAGTGGCTATTAAATGGATGAGAATTCTTGCTTGACATTTGAATTTGAAAACATGATAGGAATTAGTTTTGGCTTTGAAACAAGACCACTAGATCAGTTGATCTAGTGAACATCTTGATCACCAGGCAAACTGCATGTAAATCTGGTACTGTCATGATTGGTCACTTAGAATAAAACTTACATTGTCAGAAAATGCCTAGCCTTGAATGCCATGTTATGAGCAGGGTCATATTAAGTAGACCTTCTGATACAGAGTCCTGTAACAGTACTAAGTTGTAAAGAGTTGTGATAGGATTAGCCCATTAACCCCTTTCTCCTACGGGAGTTTCACTACTTTTGTCATATGGGATACTATAGTGACCACTAAGTTTCATAATCAGGAAACTTTGGTTGAAGCTTGACATTGTCTATATTTGAATCTCAAGCAAGTAACTTTAAGGATGCCAACAACTCTGAGGCTTAATACACTAAAGACAGTGATTTTCAAACTTTTATGCCTCAGTAGCTCTTTACATTCTTAAATTTATTGAGAACCCAGAAAACTCTGTTTATGTGGAATGCATAAGTTGGTATTTACCACATTAGAAATTAAAGTTGAATATTAAAAATGTTTTAAAATAACAGGAACAATCTGATTGGAAGCTTACATAAAATATATTTTTATGAAAAGTAATTGTATTTTGCAAAAAAACAGAGTGAAGAGCATTATTTTACATTTTTGCAAATCTGTTTACTGCTTAATAGGAGTAAGACTGCACACAATCTGTAGAGATATCACCTTTCATGTAGCCTCTGGTAAACTCCACTGTACACTTCAATCTGTTAGTATCACTATGAAAATGGTTTTCACCTCTTAGACGGCCTGAAAAAGGGACCACCAGGGGTCCCCACACCACACTTTGAGAACTGCGGTCTTAGAAGTAAAACACCAGACAATAATCATGCCACAAGGCAATAATAAATGCTGGAGGTAATAGATAAAATTAAATATGCTGATTTGATCATTACACAATGTATGCATGTAGTAAAACATCATCACTACCCCGTAAACATGTACAATTATGTGTCAATTTTAAAATAAGAATAATTGCAAGCTAATATTACTTGAATTCTTATTCTGTTTGTCCCTATTGTGTTTTTATTAAGATCTCATTTAATCTTTGTTGAGACCTCTTGAGATGGATAATATTGTCTTTATTTTCCAGATGAGAAAACTGAGGCAGTTTAATGGGAAAGACAAAAGCATCTTTCCCAAAGTCATATAGATTATAAATGGTAGAGCCATGATAGGAGACAAGGTGCAGTGCTGATAAAAGATCAATGATCATGGAGAATAGCAGTGAGGGGAGCAATGGTGATGGTGGTGGTAGCAATAGTTGGAGTAGCATTTATGTGTGAAGAATGAACCCTATAAATGCTGGATGTCTTATATGCATTATCATAGCATGTCCTCCCAATAGATCTATGACATACTTAGTATTATCACTATCATTTTACAGATAAGGAAAGTGCCTTTCCTAAAATCATCCTTAATATTTGGGAAACATATCAGCTCTCTAAAGTTTTTATTACTGTAATTAAATAGGAAATTATGCTAACATTAGGTGGCGTGGTCTCTTGCCTCATTTAACTGGCATTATGGCAGAAGATAGTTATCTCTGCAGAGATGAATTTTCCAGAGTAGATCATTTTTGCTACGTTGTGACCCAAATGTTGAAAGTCTAACTGAACTGACCGGAGTGCTCATTATGAACACTGACATTGATTCTGTGCCTT